ATCTACTTTTTCATACAGCCTCCTAAGACATATAATTAATATATTTAGTACAAACTTAATTTCATTATAAAAAATAAAAACAAAATATAGGCTACAATTTCTAGTCAGGTTGGGCCCATCAGCGGCCGAGTCGCTGATCACTGGTAGTTCGGTCTGAATTTCGAATCCCGCGAACGGGTTGGCTGGATGGGCATTTTCGGGGTTTTCCCTATGTGTAACGTGTATACCAGCCAGTTTCCTTTAGAAAGTCCCCCACGAAGGCACCCATCTCTTTAGGCAGATAGTCCTCGAGAGCTTTGCCATAATTAAATTAACCAAAACCAAACCAAACCAAACTTTAAAGTCAGGTTCGTGAAACATGGCAGATGTCGCCCAATTGGAGACATTTGGAAACTTTCGGAACAAACAGGGAACACATGCAGGGAAAGCCTTATGCGCGAGTCGAATCCACATCTTTTGTTTCGGGTTAGTAGTCACCCTCCATTAACCACTATACCCTTCGCAAAGGCTTTGTTGTTAAAGTGCTGATCCACAGAAAATAGAAAATAAACGGAAGCCACTGCAGATAATGCGGTTAAAAGAAAAATCGTCGACTGTTCATCGATACACAAAGGATCTGTATTTTGATGATATGATGTTCATCATTCAAAAGAAATGATTAGCCCTGAAATACACCGAAAAAAAGCTCTCATATTATGTGCTATATTCTTTCGAGAGGAAATTTGCTTTTATCTTGAAAATTATATTATGTAACATTTTAGTACTACATTATTCTTAAAACACAATCCCTAGCTTAAATTTTTCTGCCCCTCCTATTATCCCCTGTTATGATTTTGAACGGTGGTGTTCGAAAGATGGCCTTAATTTTAGCGAAGTCAAAATTAAAGCTACCTGTCTGGCCCTTAAATTAAAGGACTAATATAAATTGTATGTTAGTAAGCTGGCTTTTTGCTTACGGATGAGATGTCTACCAGAAGACTTTCTAAGGGAAACTGGCTCTTGTTTAATATATTCATGGAAAAGCCACTATTCAGCTAGATAGTTCGTAAAAATTTAAACTCGGATCAAACAACTACTGTTCAACCGCCTATACACTTAGTTACTGGCGGAATTAGATTAATTTAATTATGGCAAAGTATGATAGGGTATCCGTCAAAGGGGTAAGACACATTCGTAAAGGATTTTCTACAAGAAACTAGTCTATTTATGCGTTTGCACGTAAGTAAAATCGCAAAAAAAATTCAATGCAGTCATTTCTTTCGTCGGCATTTATACCGGGTCGAATTACCAGTGTTCAACGATTTCACTTCGCAATGCTTCCTAAATATTTAGGAGGCAATGGCCTTCGTCGAAACCTTTTTAAAACAAACCAGTTCGTAGCCCTCATACGCCACACATGGGAAAAATTTCGAAAAAGCTCCATGTTGTCAGCCCGTTCGCACACGCAAAGAACAGAAGCCGTAACGACAATGGGCGAAAGAGAGGGGGCGACATACAATCGGTGTGTATGCAGGCAATTTGTATCATTGCATTAAGACCGTACACAAGATGAAAAAAATTACAGACACCAGTCACACCATACATGTGCCTCACACCGATAACGTACGGTAAGCGTCTGGTTTTTGAACAGAGCACACGACGCTACCTGCTTAAGACACTGCACTTCTTGAGAGATTTTCTACAGAAAATTTTCGTATTCATATTGCACAAAAGGAAAACTACACAGATACATGTACCGCTATGACGTTCTCCAGGATTCGAGCACAGGTCGAATTACCAATATCCAACGATTTATCCATTCGGTCAGCGGTGATGAAACAAAGGTACCAGCTAGAAATTCAAATTATATAATAGATGTATGAAAAGTAACAGAACATTTGTAGGCTGAATTATTTGAAACTCGGCGAACATTTTCCAGAAAATCCTTAAATTTTTATGTGCATTCTAAAATATATATGAAATTTCATGGCATTAATCAGGTGTTTAGTTCCAGGTTTTAATTAGGTGCTACATGTTTCTTTTAAATTTTATTTAAACAATTACGATTTCTGCTTTATAACTCAAGAATATCAATACCTGTTAGCAAACTCATGAGAAAATACGCCGTTTTGTATAGCTTTAGAAATTAATGATGTTCACACATACAGTTTCAAGCTTTTATTTCGAATCGGAATTTAATATTTTGGGTTTTCATCATTTTTAATAGAGGATTTTAAACGAACCTCAACGTGCAATATTTCCTGTACCGAATGTTTTATGTCTATGCTTTCATGTATGAAACCAAAAGCGTCTAAAAATTTTAATCTGCATGAATGTTTTTCGCATTTATTAACAAATTCTACAAAAAAATGATATTTTTATCATTTTTATGTGTGTCAGTATTAATAGTTAATATAAATGGAGACTAAAATAAATATTATCAAACAATGCCATTCCCTATTAAACACAAAGTATTTTACGCACTTCAAAGTGGAATACATATATAGTGGAGTATATACTGATGATATAACGTCAGGTCAGGTCAGGTTAGGTTAGGTTAGGTTATTTAATTATGACAAAGCCTCGAGGGCTATCTGCCTAAGGGGATGGATGCCTTTGTGGAGGACTTTCTAAGGGAAACTGGCTCGTATACACGTTGCACATGGGGAAAACCACGAAAACACTCATGCAGCCAGCCCGTTTGCGGGATTCGAACCTCGGACCGAACTACCAGTGTTCAGCGACTTGACCGCTCTATATAACGTCAGAATAACACACATTATCAAATGTAAATTTTAATCTGAATTTTTTATTATAAAACAAGAAAAGGCCTGTCAGTATATATGCAATTTTTGAAGGGTAAGGGGGTAAACAATCTCCTGAGTTGCCTGTGCTTAGAGAAGGGTCAAAATTCACTTTTAACCTGCTGACTGATAAGCGAGTTTGTAAGAAAATCTCCTTTAGATCAAAAGCGTTGCTATACCATGTGTCAACTGTTTTCGATCGGAGGAGTTTAGAACACCTAAAGCAAAACATTTTTGGGACATGCATTCAGTTTAAAATCTTTCCTCAAGAACGAAGTATCTAAGAAAGGGTGTGATATTCGAAAATTATTTCTACTTTTCCAAATATTTTTTTCTGTAGAGACAAATGGTTGCAATATTTTCGTGTTAAAATTGCTGTCCCAAATTTTTGCTATGCCTAAAAAAATGAATGAGCAATTTGAAGTGAATCATATAGCAGTCAAGAAGAAACCTGTTGCGAGGCTTACAAAAGTCGAATAGCAGCTATGAGGAAGAGTCGAAGTTTTTCAGAAATGTAATTATAAACAAAATGAAATCTTCAGATTCTGATTAGAGCATTGATAAATGCAGTGATAATAAATGTGGTGTAGATACTACTGATCAGATTTTGCGAGAATTGCTGTTTAAGAAGAAAGAAAAGTTGATACCGAGGAAAGCACAATTCAGATTGGTGAACGGAATTAATTTAACTGTCGGCAACTATGATTTTCGTTTCTTTTTTTCAACAATTATCAATAATTTCTTCAAATACCTACTTTACCTCGAAGTACTCAAAGAACTCTTACCCGATTACGGATGACGGGGTGGGTGGGGTGGCTGATTAGAATTTTTGCCGTCACACACAAAAGTGTTAATTGAGATACGTTAAGTGGCGGTATTGCCTACCATATTACAGACACATCTACCATTTAGATAATCCGGATGGCAGATAAACAGTGTCTACAGAGGAAGGGCAAAATTGATTTTTAATTTAGATATGCTCAGGGCCGGATTTAGACTTGATAAGGCCCTAAGCTATTTGAGATATATGGCCCTTTGTAAGTCATATATTATATGTCAGTGTCAAATATAATTTTCGAATAATTAGAAGGGTTTTCTTCGGGGGGGCAAGAAAGCGGGGGCTCTGAGCTACGGTTTGTGTAGCTTATACGTACATCCTGCACTGGATACGCTAGGTCACAATATTTTCTAACATATTCAGTGCCGAATTTACGTACAAGCTACACAAGCTACAGCTTATGCCCCTCCCCCAAATTAAAATATAGTATAAATAGTATTAAAATATAACAGACTTACAAAGGGCCCCATATCTCAAATAGCTTAGGGCCTTATCAAGTCTAAATCTGGCTCTGAGCACGTTTAAGACACATTTATATGTTAGAACTTACATATTAACGTAAACACCTCAGTAGAAGTTGACAAATTTTTAGATTGTGACAAACTCTTGGCAACTATGCTCATAACAGTCCTTAAGTCAAACAATGTTGCCATTTTCGTTCACGTTCTTTTTATTGTATTCCAAGTTACAAAGGTTTTTATAGACAAACCATAACTTGCTGGCGATAGAAAAACTGGAGTAACACTTCTGTAGGGAAACAGCATTTTGCAACGAATCGCTAATGGAATAACGATGACATAAGTTTGGTAGATAGCTAGTGCGTAATGCCGAATTTGTGCATTTCTCCGATTTTTTTTTTAAGCAGAACCAGATCAACGTAGACGACGAAAACAGCGAAAAAATAAATTTTTCATGAAAAATGTGTTTTATTTTTTTATATATGTTATTTTATTATTGAATAAGCATTTATTAACGTATTTTTTTAATATATGTTAATAAATGTTTATTTAATAATTTAAATTTGCATTTTAAATTGCCAAAGAGTGCTTTACCGTAAATCAGTAATAGTTTTTAAAGGAAAGTCACGCAGACAGCCAAACTGAACTTGATAAGTGACTTTTCTTTTACATTTCCACCAGTAAAAAAAAGCCATATGCGCCAAGATGATTGCGCTAATACGTAAGCACAATATTTATAAAGATTTGCATGTGATTATACAATCTATGACAGAAATGAAATATTTTGCTGATTTCTTAAGAATAACAGTAAAGAGAAAAATAGAATAACATTTAAAAAATTGTTCATAGAATTCATTTGTATACAAGACTGTGAAAAAATAAGAATGACTTTTTAATAACGAAATATAAATTATAACTTACCCAAAAAGGTGTTCCACAAAACTCATCCAACAGTTTGTGCACCATCATGAATGAAATTCCAAAAGACAATGTTGTTCTTATGTAGTAACCTCACAATGTCAGCTCATTCGATGCCAAATGCTGAATGAAAAAGAATATTTACTATGGCGACGCTTCTTCGTTTAGCAGCAATCTGAAAGAGAAACGTTCGGTGTTACCATAAGATGCCATTATAATAAATAAATCGGCAATGTGGAATTTTTTGAATTAATTAGCGCAGATCACTTTTTATGTAACACTTCCTAGAAGCGCATGGCATCACTCACCGCATGCTGTCCGTTCTCCAAGACAGTTCTTTTATTTTTGTTCCGGAGGCAAACTTGGCTGCTATCCAATTTCCTACATCTTTCAATTTCTCACGAATCTTTTCGATTCCACTTGACTAAAATGAATGGCTAAAGTGTTTCAGATGCAGCAAAAGGTAACACCCAAATTACGCAATTATTTGATTCCTTTGTTTTTATTATTCGCTTTTCATTCAAAAGGTATATAGACATTAACAAGGGACAGGGAAACTTCTTTACGAAGCTTTAATACTCTGAATTGAGAAAAGAATTGCTAGCCTACTTGACACACTGATTTTATCGCAAATGAAAGACTTCCGAGTTATCATAAACAAACCGTTTATATCACAATGAAACAGGGAAGAATGAGACACTTGGGTGAAGGTACAAACTTCGAGAAGGAATTTTTAGAAAAGTTGCAATGTTTCTAAATAAAGAAATAATAACACATTTTTTTTTCTGTTAATTTTAAACAAAAAATAATTAATACACCCCGGGAAATGGTCGGAATGACGAACCCAGCTGAGTTCAAAAGAAGCTGGAATGCCGATGTGGGTGTTTTCATCATTTTCCCATGCATAATGTTAACACGGGAAAAGAAAAATGAAGTGAAATCCAATTAAGCATTAACTCTTTGAAGGGCAGGAAAAGGCAATTAACTTTTTCAGCAAAAAACTTGTTTTATTTACCATATCAGGTGTTACAATGAAATTATTTGGGTACTTAAGTATTAACGCCACCGTAGCAGAAGTTGCGCTGATGCGCCAATAAAAGAGCAATCATGTTATTCGCACGCAATTATCTTTTGGATTCCTTTTTGCCTTGTTGTTTGCTGATTTTTAACGCCATTTTTTTAGTGCCACGAAAATGCGTCTTTCGGATTTGCCAAACACAGAATAAGATGCAATTTTGGCTCTACTCTTATATGCGCCCTAAGATCACCAAATGTGGCGATATGTGTTCTGCGCTGGTTTTTGGCGCGATTGATGTTGAAACTTAGAGACGTGGTGGCAAGATTTCAGTCGCGTATTTTAGATTGTGTGAAAAGTAAATTTAGTATTAAAAGGTACGATATTGGAGTTGTTAACGAGTCGAGTCTTTTTTTCACGGGTGTGTTTATGAGGATCGAAGTGTATTTTTGGAATTTCTGTGGGAAGAGTTTGAAATGCGGAGCTGCTATGAGAATTCGGACGAAGAAGGGCGTTTCTGATAGTTCTTGTGTGGATTTGCAGTTAACTGCTTGCTGGTAAAGTATGTGGCTATCAGCTGAGTTTAAGATTTAAATTGTGGTTTTTGGTGTAGTAAGTTAACTTTGGAGGAAGTTTTTATCGGTACTTTCGAAGTTTTGAATCGCAGAAAGACATGTGATATAACAAAATCGTGCCACTTTTGTTCAGAGACATTGTGTGACTGGCGAAATTTTATTCAGGAATGTATTATGGTAAGTGCATTTTATTATACTGTTTTTATTTTGTAGAATATTATTTTCATTATTTTTTTACTATGCATTTTTGTTGTTATTGTTGTTTTTTGAAGTGTTTGTAATTTTAGTTTATTTGATTGATTTGTGCGCAATGCCTAGATTGTGCAATTCGTAGATATTTTTTTAAGTTTAAACAGGATGCTGTGTACATGGTTTTCTTTGATATTTATTGTTGTTATGTTAATTTATTAAAGCGAGGTGTGCGTGGTTTGTACTTTCGTTCGTTGCCTAGATTGTGCAATTCGTAGATGTTTTTTTAAGTTAAAATATATGGCTGTGTACATGGACTCTTGTCAAATATTTTTGGTTAGAAACTTTACGTTTCTACTATCTAAATTTTTTTGTTTTTGTTTTGGATTTTTATCTTAAATTGTGTGTTCAAAACGTGATTTTGCAGGTGCGAAAACCGCATTTTTGGAGACATTTTAAGTTCGAAATGTAGACAAAAATATTAGATAATAATATGGCATCGTGGAGTTTTTCGCCAAAAATGTTTGGCGAGACATTTGGCGACCTTAGGGCGCATATAAGAGTAGTTCCGAAATGGCATTTTTTTAGGAGCGAAATATTTTACCAAAAAAAAAAAAAAAAAAAAAAAAAAACGAAAATGTACCAATTCGCATGATATGAAACTTTATTTTGGTAAACGTATGTTTCGGAAATGTAATTTAAGACAGTGTGATCAGCAAGTGGGACTTAGAAAAGACAACTGGTTTGAGGGAAGCAGAATTCCATTATGTTCAGCTTTGAGATTCATATACTGCTGGTACGAGGAGTTGACGTGAATTACATTTTGTGAAAAGCAACTTAATTTAGCGAATAGATTGGAACAATTATGTGTCTTGGATATGGAGAATAAACCAAAAGAGAAGGTAGGTGGACCAGATTGTATTGTGGAAATTGATGAAAGTTTGTTTACTAGGCGTAAAAAATAATTGTGGTCGAGTATTACCCGAACAGTGGGTGTTTGGTGGTATATGTAGAGAAACAAAAGTCTAACTAGAAATGTGGATGGTGTAGATTCTCAATTTATGAAAATAGGAATTAAGGAGGCAAAAGAGACTGCTAGAAAAATAATGGAAATTATTAATGGCAACAGGGATGTCATACGCATTTGTTGAATATGGTGTGTTTGTGTTGGTATGTGGTGATATTTGGTGGAATTCTAATTTTCTTTATTTTTATTTGTAATTGTTAACACATCACTTTGTTTAGTTTCAATTTTTTTATATTTTTCTTCTTTATTGTATGTTTCTGATTAGATTCGGCAGCTTATTATGACATATGCTTGCTGAATGTATCTTTTTAGGTTCCTTTTGTTGCTTTTTGCTAACCTTTTTAGTTACTCGAGCTCGGAGCCTGGTTTCCCGGTGCTTAGTTTGTAGTTTAATTATTGTTATTTAGTTGTATGGGGCCAACACTCCCTGGGTGGGGGTTCTAGGGGGTGTTGATGGGGCACGGCTGGGCCGCTGGATGCCTTCGTTTGTGTTTTTAGAACTGGCGCAGCCCAATTAAGGTCATAGGGCAAATTTCGTTTTGCAAGGAGGACCGGGCTTCGCCCCAAGATCACCCCTAGCAGCTGAATAGTCTGATTTAAAATGAATAAATTAAAAATATATTTTAAAAAAAAAGAAATATAGTTCAGTCGGACGTTTAACTTATCTTTATATTAATATTTATGTCTGCTTGTTATACAGCGGTTCTCTATTGATGCCATTTACTCTACCGATGTCATTTCTCTAATGAAATCGCACCGTAGTAAATGTACGAAATTAAGTGGGGCTTCCAGCAACAGTGAATGTTGAGAGGTCCCCTTAACCGGCCCTAGTTTGAAACAAACAACAATAAACTCAATCCTGGGTATAACAGTTCTAAATAAAACTCAAAATAAATTTACTCAAAGCTCATTTATAGATCTGATGAGATCATAAAATCATATACTCATCAGTGTCAGTTAAGATATGGTTACTAGTAGTGACTACGAACTTTAAAATCTCAACAAAATAGGCACTCAAGAATACTCATGGCGTTTCATCGCAGTTTTGTATACCATAAAAAAATTCCCAACTCCCTATTTCCAAAGTCTAAAGTCTGATTCCTAAACCTTATCCCGTGGGCTATAGACATTAATTGTACCATTTGGTGAACTACACTGGTGAAATAAATTAAGAGAATTTGCATATTTTATCGAATCCCATGAAAAGAACTGAACTGAAGGCAAAACCATGCTTCTAGATAAAAATGCAAATCTTGTAAGGCGAATACATAAGCGTACACGTGTGTGTAGGCGGAGCCAACAGAAAAACAGGCTTTATAAGCGCGTGGAGGGTAAGACGAATTGCAGTGGCGTAGCTAGGGTGGGGCAAGGGGGAACATCTGTTCCCGGGCGGAGCATTCAGGGGCCGCCAAATTGATGTTATGAAATTTTAGAATGAAATGTTTCCATTCTTGCTACACAGAAAGGGGCATAAAATCTTCAGTTGTCCCCGGGCGCTGAAAACCCTAGTTACACCTCTGACGAATTGCGTTCGCTAACACACCTGGGCGAATTTCTTGATGTTATCTTGCAGCAATCGGTTAAATTCACATCGGAACAGTAAAAATGAGTAACCACCAACATTTAGATGATGGAATGAGGTGGCGAACTGTGGGGAGGCTAGAGGCAGGCCAATCACAAGTCCAGATATGCAGAGAGTTTACTTTAATGCCCAGCGTAGTGTGTAACCTATGGAAACAGCTCCAGGATACCGGATCCATTGAGAGAAAGCATGGGCAAGGTCGTCCAAGAACCACGACAGCCAGAGAAGATCGCTATTTGTTCATTTTAGCGAGGCGTGACAGAGGGGCTACAGCTTCTCAGTTCTCTCGGAAACTGTATGCAACCACAGGAACCCGTGTAACAAGGGTGACTGTTTCCAAAACACTGAATGAGAGAGGGTTGTTTGCGTCCCGCTCACCACTACGAACAGGAGAGTACGATTAGCATGGTGCAGGCAGCATAGTGATTGGAGCACGGAGCAATGGGCGACCGTTCTACTCACTGACGAGTCCCGTTTTAGCCTAAACACCGATTCTCGCCGTACTTTCATATGGAGAGAACCAGGGATCTGCTACCTACCCTCCAATGTCCGCAAAATCAACAATTATGGCGGTGTAATTGTCTGGACAGGCATCATGTTGGATGGCCACACCTCTCCAACGTCTTTGACAGAGGCTCTGTAACTGGTGTGAGGTATAGGGATGAGGTCTTGGAGCCCATGTTCGCCTTTTCCGGGTGCAGTGGGCCCCGAATTCATCTTACAGGACAATAACGCGAGGCGAAATAGAGTTCTTCTGGTCGACGAATTTCTCGAGAGTGAGGATATT